GTTTGTGTGTGTGTGAGTGTAGGGAGGACAAGAGAAAGGGAGGAAGAGAAAGAGAGAGAGAGAGAGGGAAGACATGTTTCATTCAACCAATAAATATATCTGCCAGAGATTGGTGATTATTTTCCTTTGGAGGTGGGGGGATTGGATTACAGCTTTTGGGGTTTAGGGACTACTCTTGTCTATGTGATCATGGTCCCAGGGACCAAATTTGGGCCTCCAGTATGCAAAGTAGTGCTCAGCCATTGTGATATTTCTCTGACCCTGCGGTGAGTGATTTAATCTGCACAAGACACTCTCTTAATTTCGCTTAGGCTTCCCATGTTGATGGAATTCTAGCACAGTAATTTTTTCATACTTGCACAGTGGCTCTAAGATGCAGAGCCCAAGAATTTTAATCCCAATGGACAAAGTTTGTTTCTCAAACAAAAAGCCCAAACAAACAAACAAACAAACAGGACAAATAAATGTGGGAGGAAATAGAAAAACAAGAAAGTTTCCCTCTGTGCAATGTCTATTGATCCTCATACACCTATAAAATTACAGTAATAATTAGAGTAGTAATACACCATTGTAAAGTTATCAAATACTGGCCTTGCCAAGATAAGCTAATATTAAGGTATAAGTTGTCACTACAAGAACTGGATCCTGCTTGTTATTTGACAGAAAAGTAGTTCTGTTTATAAGTTTGAAGAATCTCTTGTCTTTTAATTTACTGTTTTAAAAATGTTACATAAACATTGTGGCAATGTAAAATTTCTCATGAGACAATATTAAAGATGTTTATAGTTTAAAACATGTCCAGTTGGTTCTCTATGAAAGCACTAAATGTGTGGTTCAGATTCCAATTGCAGAAATGACAAACAGAAAAGTGACTTTTGAATCCGTAAAGTAGACATAAAGAATTCTGAGCTAAAAGTTGGATTATTTGGAATACTTAGAAAATTTCAGAATTGTTTTGGAGGGATTATATATATTTTTGTTATAAGACTTAAATTTTTGCTCTTTGACAAGTATCTTTCCCAGTTTTGTTTTACCATGAACAAAAAGTATCAAATCCAAATGGGTTTTTGCTTATGCTCTATTACAAATTTTCTTTTGTTTGACTGCTAACTCATTATCTGGAATTTTGGTTTCATTTTATTTTGGTTTTGGACCATACCCAGCCCCAGTAATGCTCTGGGCTTTCTCTTGGCTTTGAGTTTAGGAATAACTTGGGGCTTGGGGCCATAAGTGGTGCTGGAGATCGAACCCGGGTCAGCCATGTGCAAGGCAAGTCTTACCCACTGTACTCCCTCTCTGCTCCCTGAATATTTCTAGAAATATTTATGTATATCTTAAAACATTCTCATAAACAAATTCCTTATAAGTAAACAATCTGAGATTGACATACACACTCAACATGTTAAGTAAATCCCATTTAAAATTATTTATTAAATCATTTGCTATACCAGGCATTGCAATAATAAATCATTTTTATACATGTAATTTAATTTATTTCTTAAAGTTTATAAATTAAAAATTAAAACCCTCCAGGACTCAGAGAGATTAAATAATGTTTTATATATATATATATATATATATATATATATAGCAGGGGCTGGAGCGATAGGGCGTTTGCCATGCACGCGGCCGACCCAGGTTCGATTTCCAGCATCCCATATGGTCCCCCGAGCACTGCCAGGAGTAATTCCTGAGTGCAGATCCAGGAGTAACCCCTGAGCATCGCTGGGTGTGACCCCCCCCCCAAAAAAAAAGAAATAGCAGTAAACTAGGCATAAAACAACTAAGTGTAGAGTCAATGTAACAGACACTATGAAAAAAAATCAAAACAAACATTTGTTTGGAGAAATCTTTCTCTATGGTTCTTCTGACTAGATATCTAAAGGTGCTGACCATTCCTTACTAGGTTGTTTCTCAGACTTGTATTTATAGCTAACAACCTAGAGGGATTAAGTGATATCTCTATTAGAAACAAGAGTGCAGTTGGAATTTCAATTTCTGGTTTTCTTAAAATGCCCATATCATTTAAAAAGAAGGCTGGACCAGTTGACACTCAGACCAACAATGAATGAGTGTCTCTTTTTCACCTCATCTGTGCCAGCAATGGCAGTTCTTGTTCTTTTTGATGTGTGTCAGTCTCTGTGGTGTGAAATGATATCTCATTGTTAATTTGATTTGTATCTTTCTGATGATTAATGATGTGGAACATTTTTTCAGAGACATTTTTGGTCATTGTATTTCTTCTTTGAGGAAGTTTTCCTTCTACCCATTTTTTGATGGGGTTGGGTGATTTTCTTGTAAAGTTCTACTAAGCCTTATATATCATTGAAAATAACCCCTTATCAGATGGGTACACGGTAAATATTTTTTCCCTTCTGTGCTCTGTTTTTATATCTTGGTCACATTTTCCTTCAAGGTGCAGAAGTTTTTTTTGTTTAATATAGTCCCATTTTTAAAAATTTTTGTTTCCACTTACTTGGTCAGTGGTATTTCATCTTTGAAGATACCTTTAGCTTCAATGTAATGGAGGGTTCTGCCTACTTTTCCCTCCAAGAACCTTATGGATTCAGGTCTGATATTGAGGTCTTTAATTCATTTTTATCTGACTTTTATGCATGGTATAAGAAAGCAACGTTACTCTTGGAATGTACACTAGTGGCACAGAAACACAATGCAGAAATGTCATCTGCATTTCAATGTTTATTGCAACACTATTCACAATAGCTAAAATCTGGAAACAACTTGAGTGCCCAAGAACAGATCACTGGGTAAAGAAACTATGGTACATTTACACAATGGAATACTATGCAACTGCCAGGAACAATGACGCCATGAAATTTGCTTATAAATGAACAAGACATGGAGAGTATCATGGTGAGTGAAGTCAGAGAGAAAGTGACACACACAGACCAACTGCACTCATCTGTGGGATATAAAAACCAGAGTAGGAGACGAATACCAAAGGACAGTAGAAACAAGAGTCAGCAGAAGTGGTCCACAAGTGGCATTGAGGGTGGAGGTTGTTAGTACAGAGACAAGACCACTTTGCCAATGATCTTAGGAAATGATGATTATAAACAAGAACTGAGTGCTGTAAGAAGATAGAGGGGTATAACCTTTCAGTGCCTGTATTGCAAATCACAATGCCCAAAAGGAGAGAGAAAGAAAAGAGAAGGGAGAGGAGAGAGAGAGGGAGAAAGAGAGAGAGAGAGAGAGAGAGAGAGAGAGAGAGAGAGAGAGAGATCTACCATTGAGTGGAGATGGGGTGGGGGTGCTATTTCTAATAAAGTAGGGTGACTGCTGGTATATTCAGCCCCTCCCAATTGTTTCTTGCATTTATGAGCACAAAGATATAAGGAATCAAGTACAAATATACAGTCATTAAAGAATACATGTCAGAATATTATGTTACAGAATGCAGATACAGTTGCATTCTCCAAGTGTCATGTGTAATTGTGAAAAAAGAAAAAAGGAAAATGTAAAAGCAAACCAAACAACCAAGATTAATAGAAATGTTTTATCCAAATGTACTTTTATAGTACATGCTTGGTGAGCTCTCAATGCCTGTGTGGTGTGACTACTTGCAACAACTCTGTCAAATGTGTAAATATTATTATAAACATTTAGGAAACTGAGGCACATACAATTTGCAGCATTTTATACTCAGTGGTAGAGCCTGATTTTGTATGTAACGTTTCTGGTATGAATACTGAGGCTTTCAATGATCTCATTTAGAAATTATATTTTTGTGTGGGGAAAAGGGGAAGGTAATAAGAGCTTTTATAATGAGTTGCTGTTTGGGATCCAGTCTTTGTAAAAATAAAAAAAATATATATATGTGAAAAAAGAAACAAAAAGATGCAGTAGACACTTCTCTTCTGATACACACACAATATAAATGCAAGAAAGATCCTGTCATGCCAAATGACTGTATATGATTAGGGAAACATAATTTATTTTACATTATGGCAGCGCCATTGGCACCTCTCACAATTCTTAGGAAAGTAGTTTTACTTTGATAACAACACGACAAGTCTCAGCAAATAAAAGGAAGTCAAAACAGATGTCCAGATAAATGTGTTTTAAAAAATCAAGTTTCAGCAAACAAATTGGACTCAAAAACAGATATCTAGATAAATGCTTTATGAAAGAAGTATCTAGACAAAATCAGTAAGTTGACCACTTAAGAAATTTATTTTATTTAAATTGCTAGTCGTCTGCATCTGGGATGCCAGTTTCTTTGGGAAGCCTCTTTGTTATTCTCAAACTTACTTTTCTATAAGCCCCATATGTGTAGGGCTCTGCACACAATTAAAATCCTAGAACGTGTGTGTGTATACAGATATATATATACATATATAGATATAGATGTATATAGGGGTCTGTATATACATATAGAAATAGATGCATATCTGTATATATCTGTATAGATTTACATATGCATGTATATCTGCATGTATACGGATGTGCGTATACATACACAGATATACATATATGTGAATCTGTATATATAAACACATATATACAGATACACAGGTGCATGTATATATACAGATACTATATACAGATCTACATACATATGTGTATATCTATATACATATGTATATATGTGTATATATAAAGTACACATATACACACGGTGATATTTTAGGGTAGAAAATGAACTGAGAAAGAAAATTCTTCCCCACTTCATTTTCAACCAGAAAGACCATCTAGCTGGTCTGTAAGAGCCAAATAGAACTAACTCAGCGGACCCTTCCGCGCATCTACATCACCCCAGGAACCGCGTCCTGCGGTCTCTGGGTAACTTAGCAACGCCGTTGTCCTGGCAACCCGGGAAGCGCGTCCGAGCCGCGCGGCTGGACCGGGTCGGGGCCGAAGGAGCCCGTCGGGCGGGGGCGGAGGCGTGTCCAGCTCTCGCGAGAGCCGCGCGGAGACTGGTGGTGCGCGTCCTCGCGGTTGCCCTTAGGAACGCGGGGGGCCTCCGGGGGCCCGGACCCTGCTGTGGGAGAATGGCAGCGGCTCCGCACGGCGTGCACACCACGGGCCTGGGGGTCCTGGACGAAGCGCTGGGCCTGGGGCTGCCGGCTGCCGGGGACACGGTGGACGCGGTGTCGGCCGAGGGCGCCTACTACCTGGAGCGTATCCTTGCCGAGGGGGCGCGGCCGGCGGGAGCGGCGGGACCTTCCAGCAGGGGGCGCGCTGGGCCCGCGCCTCGGGATTCGGAGCGCGGGGGCTGGTCCCGTTTCCTGCCGCTTCGTTCTCCGCGGGCCGCCTCGGGAGACCCCGCGGGGCCTCGGGCCCCGCCTACCACTCCCTTTGCTTTGGAGGGGCGGGTTTCCTGGTCAGGTGGGCACCGCGCGGGGAAATTCCACCCTCCAAGTGGTTTTGACCGAACTAACGTTCAAGCCTCAAAAAAAAAAAAAAAAAACCAACCAACCAAACAAAAAACAACAACCCCCCCCCCCCCCCAAAAAAAACACCAAAAAAACTAAAGAACAAGTACAACAAAGTAAGTTAGACCATTTGAAAAAGACAGCCTGGGGCCGGAGTGACAGTAAGGCAAAAGTTTGTCTTGCATGCGGCCCACCCGGGTTGGAATCCTGGCATCTCATTTGGTCCCCTGGGCACCACCAGGAGTAATTTCTGAGTGCAGAGCTAGGAGTAAACCTTGGTGCATTGCCGGGTGTGACCCCCAAAAGCAAAAATGGGAGCCTTGAGCGAGCAGAAAATTCAGGATACCTTGGGGTTCTCAATAGAATCTATTTAGAGCGTTTATAAAGTTCCAAATGTCCGGCCAGAGAGATAGATCAGTGGGCAGGGTGCTTGCCACCCCATAGGGTGCCCTGAGCACTGCCAGCTATGGCCCCAGGCAAACACCATTCCTAGTATTTTTCTAATATTGCTAGTGACCGCATGAGAAAATCTCTGCGGGCACTTGAGTGTTGAATGAAATGTGCAGCTGCTTCCAGTGTACTATCAACTTTAAAACCACCTTTGTCTAGCTGGTTGGTGCTTACAGGTTTAGTTTTGTCAACTTTTTTTTTTTTTTAAGTAGTGTCAACTGAGAGTTTCAAATGTGGCTATTTAATGCCATCTGCTTCATCTTTTTTTTTTTTTCCTCACCAGATAAGTTGACACTTTAGAGGTGTCAGGACAAAACTGATTAAGTGATGAGGGATTTTAAATTGAGTATTTGGCAAAGTAGATTTATCATTTTTTTCGGTGAAAAGTTTTAAGAGCTTGCCACTTCTGAGCCTCCAGATTCATCGCACGGGAGATACAGGATGGGTCAGGAGAAAAATCTCTTTCTTCAGGCAGATAGGAGAGAAGTGGTTATTTATGATGCCATGGAAACCATGGTTTTTCTTTTTCTTTTTTTTTTCTTTTTGTCCAACTTTGATTCTTTCAGGTTTAATTTAGTACTTCAGAGATCCAGCAGTGATTCAGTTTCAAGCTTTGGTAGGCCGCTTTAGCTGCCCTGACTCAGGCTCACTATGCAATTGGTTTTTAGTTTGTGAAATATGTGGACTTTTATTTGATGCTGACAAGACTTTTACAGTAATATAGATTTGAATAGTTTAAATTCAATTTCAGTGAAATTATATGTGTGCTTTAATGTCTTAAGTGTGGGTTTTATACCAGGTTTTCTCGGTTGGGTGGTAAGTTGGGAAATACCCAAGTAGTGCTCAGGAACTACTTCTGACTCTGTACTTATGTAGTGCCAGTGATCAAATCAGGCTCAGCCATTTAAGGCAGGCACCTTACTGTCTGGACTATCACTTTCGCCCTGTATTTTCTTTTTTTAAAAATTTTTTTATTAGTGAAAAAATCATTGTGAAATAAATGGTAGGACTGCAGGGTAGTGCAACTTGCAATAGGAAAATTGGTTTATCTTGAGACATGATCACTAGAATTTAGAATAGAGGAGGCTAAAGGGAATGGAATAGGAAGAGCCCATGGGATTAATGGTGGCAGAATTTTCATACACTGGTAGAGGGATTGATGGAGCAACTCTCAACACTAAGACAATGATTTTAGTACTATCATAAACTCATATCTCAAAACAAAACAAAAAAAGAAATTAATGTTTACTTAATTTTCAGGGAGATCACTGGGTCACAACTGCCAAAGTGTAGCTGTTTGAACCACAATACAATAAATGCTGTCTTACAAAAATATCTCCTACTAATGACATTTCAAACATAATCAGTTTGAAGATTATCTTTTCAATATATCTTTTCAAGAAACTATTGTCTGTGCATGATCTGTCCCCTTATCCATCTTTCTACTATTCTGGTTTTTGAGCCAAAGGGAAGTTAGGGTATAATACAACTAAGTACTTAAGTGTTAAATTATCCTACATTTATTTAATTTGTTTATATTAGTTTGGGGGGGCCACACAAAGCAGCAGCGTTAAAGCTTATTTCTGGCTCTGTGGTCAGGGATCACTTCTGCCAGGATTTGGGAACCACATAGGGTGCTTGGAATCAAACCTGGGATGGTCACATGCAAGGCACTTGCCCTACCAGCTGTACTATCATACTGGCTTCCAAATTTTCTTCCACTTGATGTTTAGGTAAGAGGTTTCATCATGGGAGAGGCTTTAACTCTTAGTTAAAATGAAGTTTGAGGATTACTTTAGAATGCCAATTATTCCTGTATCCCCCGGCACTCTTAACTGCATAATTAAGGGTTGACGGTACAGTGTTATTTGACATTGTTTCTTAAGGCAATTATGATAGTTGCTGAAGTGAGACTTTCTTGGGTTTAAAATCTTTAGCACTCAGGTAATTTAATTGAGCCATTTCGGTAGATAAATAAAAGTTTTAATATGCACAAATGAATCAGGAATCTGATGTTCTTTACTTTGAAGTGTACTTAATCACTTCTAATCTACTGCATTGGGCCTGGGTTTCCCTTATTTATGACTTGAGCAGATGCTACTAGAATACTAGGCAGTGAGCTATCAGCAGTGAGCAAAGCTTTGAAAGAGGTTGACTTGAATTATCTGGGACTTAACTTTTTAAACCGTTGGTTGTAACCTCATAATTAATCACACAATTAAATATGGGAGGGCTATAAAAAGTTTTGCAACAGTAAAATATTTTTGAATATGTAATGTCAAAAAAGATAATTCAGAACCAAAAGCTCAGTGAAAGGAAGTGTTTCTCTTAATGTGTGTTTGTATTGCATTTCTCAGGCAGAAAGCGGCCATAAGTGAAAAGAAAATTTAAGAAGCCCTGTTCTAGGAGTTGGCACTGTATAAATTATGCTCTTAAACATTCAAATATAAAGAACATACATAAAAAATGGCCTAAATGAGAAAAATAATCAGTATCTGGCATAGAGAAGAGAATAGCTTTATTAATAGATTCCATAGATTCCAGTATTTCCTGGCCCTCTCAGAGGGCCCAGCAAGCTACGGAGAGTATCCTGCCTGCATGGCAGAGCCTGACTAGCTATCCGTGGCATATTCGATATGCGAAAGACAGTAACAATAATGGGTCTCATTCTCCTGACCCTGAAAGAGCCCCCAATACGCCATAGGGCTACACTGTCATGCAACAGGGACGATTGGAGACGTTACTGGTGCCTGCTTGAGCAAATCGATGAACAACGGGAAGACAAGTGACAAGTGACAATAGATTCCGTATTATTCTTTAAAAGCACTTTTATTGAATCACTGTGAGATAGACCATTACAAAGCTGTTCATGATTGATTTCAGTCATACAGTATTCCAGCACCCATCCCTCTGCCAGTGTACATTTCCCAGCATCAGTGTCCCCAGGTTCCCTCCCATCACCCCCTACTCCCCACCCTCTGCCTGCCTCTATGGAAGGTGTTTTTCATCTATCTATCTATCTATCTATCTATCTATCTATCTATCTATCTATCTATGTATCTATCTCTCCCTCCCCTCCTTTTGGGCACTGAGGTTTGCAATATTTATATTGAAAGGTTATCAAGAATATCCCTTACCTACTTTTAACCCTCAGATCTTGTCCAGCATGATCGTTCCCAGCTATTAGTGTCATACTGGTCCCTTTTCTATATTACCTACCCTCAGTCCCCCCCCCCCTCCCTCCCACACACAGTTGTGGTTAGTTCCAACCATTGAACTATTCTCCTAACCCCTGTTTTCTTGGCCATGGATATCGGGCTTCTACTACATTTATATTTTATGTACCACAAATGAATTCAGTTATTCTATATCTGTCCCTTTCCTTCTGACTCATTTCTCTTATCATGATACTCTCCATGTCCATTTATTTATAGGCAAATTTCATGACTTAGTTTTTCCTGACAGCTGTGTAGTATTCTAGATGTGCCATAATTTCTTTATTCATTTATCTGTTCTTGGGTGCTCAGGTTGTTTCCAGATTCTGGCTGTGGTGAATTTTTTAAAGAAAGGTCGACATCCTGAGATTTATCATACTTAATGATAATGGTCCCATTCAAATAATTCCAGCTTCCGTGTATGCAACTCTCTCTCCCAAGGACTCTTAACACCCTTCTCTCTCAAATCCTCACCCTTCCACCTGAATTGTGTGTTCTCCCCTTGTGTTGTCTTTGAATTTTTGTTGCTACTTGCTACATAGCTACCTGCTGTATCTTTAAATCCCACATAAAAGAGAGATCATTTTGTATCCTTTTCCTTCTGACAGGCTTCATTAAGCATGCTACCCCTAGTTCCATTCCTGTTTCTGCAAATTGCTTGATTTTGTTTTTTTTTTCTACAGAGCAATATGCAGATCTATCGAACAAATAGAAACAGAACTTCCATAGATCCAGCAATCCCACTTTGCTTTTATCCCCTCAAAACAAAAACATTAATTCAGAAGGATACATGTTTATCTCTGCTTATCGCCGCACTTAGTAAAATAGCCAAGATATAGAAACAACCCACATGTCCATATTCTTTATGAAAGAGTTGGTGTTCAGAAAATTTCACACACTTGTAACATCCTGCCTGTAACCACCTCGCTGATGCTATTGTCTTAATTTATCCAGAGGAGAATGGATCTTTGCTTTTATGTTTTAATCTTCAGTGAGATAACTACATTCATAACATAGTTTTTTATCCTACTGAGCTTTTGCAAGAACTTTAAGAAATCTAGTCCTAGAATAGGAACACTTC